GTGAGCCAAGATTGTGCCACTGCTCTCCAGCCTGGTGACAGAGTAAGACTCCGTCTAAAAAAAAAAAGACAACAAAAATCACTAAAATGTACATTTATCATTAAATGCACATAAAATGCACCTATATAAGATATATAAGAAAGGGTGGCCAGGCGCAGTGGCTAATGCCCATTATCCCAGCACTTTAGGAGGCCAAGGCAGGAGGATCACCTCAGGTCAGGAGTTTGAGACCATCCTGGCCAACATGTTGAAACCTTGTCTCTACTAAAATTCCAAAAAAAAAAAAAAAATCAGCCAGGCATGGTGGCGCATGCCTGTAATCCCAGCTACTCGGGAGGCTGAGGCAGGAGAATCGCTTGGACCCAGGAAACAGAGATTGCAACAAGCTGAGATTGCTCCAGCCTGGGCGACAGAGGGAGACTCCGTTTCCAAAAAAAAGGATGACTCTATGAACCTCAAGAAATGCAACTGTCTCCTTCTCTCAGCTGCACACGGTTCCTTGCACTGGTTCCATGTTTCTGAAACTGGAATACATGATCAAGGAGGCAGATCCAAAAAGGGATGGGGGCGGAGGGGAGTCGATGGGGAGCTTTGGAGTTACTTATTGGTTAGCGTCTCCATTTTTTTAAAAAGCAACATTTTTACATGAAAACAAACTGGTCTAGTATGGAATGAAAATGCAAACTTTCCATGAACTTTTAAGAGCTAACATCAGTTTTCAAAGAACTCTCTCACCTCTGGCCAGAGAGGTGTGTTTATGTCTTCTGGTCTCAGGGTTCCTAGGTAGAAGCTGGGAGACCACTGAATTTGTTTTCATCTCGGAAAGCACAGAGTCCCATCTTGCTGGAATGAGATCCCCTAGGTGCTGGGGGTGGTTCAGCGGGTACAGATCAGGGTCAAGCTCAGGATGGCCCAGTGGCAGCCCAGCTCCCCACTGAGAAGGTGGGCCTCCTCCATGTGGCCTATGGGTCTTAGCTCTTGGGCTGTGGGGAACAGACCCATGAAAGACTGGGGGGTGAGCTCCTAGGAGAGGTGGAGGAGAGATGGAGACAGGAGAGAGAGAGGGTGGCACTGGAGGGACAGGTTAGACAGGGGACCCTCAGTGACCTCAACAAGAAATCTGTGAACAGCTCTGCTCAAAGCCAACTCAAGCACGCTTCAGAACCACAGAATGTAGGCACTGAAAGCAACTAGAAATATTCTAGTGCAAACCTCTCATTTCACAGTTGGGAAAATTAAAGTTTGGAGCATTCGAGTGACTTGCAGGAGTTACAAACCTGATTAGTGTCAGAGTTATATTTTTAATATTAACAAGATTATCAGGATTCTTTGTTGTTGTTGTTGTTGTTGTTTTTGAGACAGAGTCTCACTGTTGTCACCCAGACTGGAGTGCAGTGGAACCATCTCAGCTCACTGCAACCTCCGCCTCCTGGGTTCAAGTGCTTTCCCTGCCTCAGCCTCCCGAGTAGCTGGAACTACAGGTGCACGCCACCACACTTGGCTAATTTTTGTATTTTTAGTAGAGACGAGGTTTCACCATGTTGGCGAGACTAGTCTTGAACTCAGGTGATCCACCCACCTCGGCCTCCCGAAGTGCTGGGATTACAGGCGTGAGCCATTGTGCCCGGCCAAGATTATCAGGATTCTAAAATCAACTTGCAATGAATATCAGCCTGACGGTTGAGTCAGAACACATTATCCTGCTGAAATAAAACATATATGAAAAGATAATTGCAAAAAGGAACAAAAATAGTTTAAAAGCAAAATTATTAAAACCACAGTAAGAAAAAGGAAGGGCAATCAGATCAGCATTTTGACCCAGTGAGCAACTCAGTTTATTGTCCCCAGATTCGTTTGTAGGGTTCAAAGCTGTTAGATGTAGTGTGAGCTCTAAAAGTCTTTTTTCACCAAGCAGGATTTAGGACTCCTGGCACTGTCTCTGAAAACATTTCCATGCCATTTTATGTAAAAACAAAATGAAACAAAAAAACCTTATGCCACTTGACTTTGCAGTGCCTGACTTATTTGCCTAGAAGCTAGAAACGTCACCTCATTACCAAGATGGGAGTCAGAGCTGCAAAATGCAAAACGAGTGTGCAAAACCAGGGATTGTGGAGAGGCAGCTTTAGCAGTTGAGCAGGGGCTCTTGCAGGTGGTCACCCTGAAGATTTTCCATGGTGTTTTTATGGTAAGGAGGACTGGGGATCGTTGCTCCATAAATACATATGGTGTGTTCTAACAAAGACCAGCTTTGCCGTGGCTCTAAGGCTGCCCCTGTCTCTATCAAAAATCCTCAAATGGCAAAAACTAGGTGCTCAGTTTGACTGAACCATGAGTAAAATAAAAGTTCCCATTCGGAAACTGCCTGCTAATTATTCCGGGGACATTCTTCCTGTCAATCTTTTATTAATTATCCAGGGGAAGTGATTCTGTAAAGCAACACACAGTGAAATGATTCATCTGACATAACTTCCTTCATTTTGCATCCAACTGAAACAGTTCCAGAAGCCCCAACTAGCAATAAAGCTGGGAGAAAACTAAACTGAATGCCCTCCAAAAACACAGCCGTGTTCTGAGCTGCATTCCACAGCAGAAGCATGGGCTTAGGCAAAAACAATAGGTAAGGCGATGTACCTTCTATTTCCCCAGGTGTTTATATTGAATAATGGATTCAATGAATAAATTCCAATAAATGACTGAATACATTTTCATAACTAATGACTCAAGTGATGAGTAAGAACACTGCAGATATTTAAAACACTACAAACTCTAAAAGCTTAAATTATACATTTTAAAATATATAGAAAACTTTAAAAATAAAATTTACTATAATGTCACATAATTATACAATTATTATCAATTCATGTTATCTTACTATAATCTATACTTACTATACATTTCATGTTATCTTAGTTATACTTATGTTATCTTTTTTTTTTTTTTTTTTTTTGAGATAGAATTTTGCTCTGTCACTCAGGCTAGAGTGCAATGGTGCAATCTCTGCTCACTGCAACCTCCAACTCCCAGGTTCAAGCAACTCTCCTGCCTCAGCCTCTCGAGTAGCTGGGATTACAAGTGCTCACCACCATGCCCAGCTAATTTTTGTATTTTTAGTAGAGATGGGGTTTCAACATGTTGGCCAGGCTGGTCTCGAGCTCCAGACCTCAAGTGATCTGCCCGCCTCGGCCTCCCAAAGTGCTGGGATTACAGGCATAAGCCACCGCACCCAGATCTTTTTCTTTTAAAAATTTTCTACTTTTATGAAAAATTTATATATGTAAAGTATACAATGTGATGTTTTAATGCACTTGTACATTGAGGACTGCTCACCACAGCCAGCCTAATACTTTTCTACTTCTCTGTCTCACTTTCTTTCTTTAAAGATACATATGCACTTATATGCACCTATACACTTCCCTGGTTCTGATTTACGTCAAGTGATTGACTGTGAAACAGAGCTCAAGGGTAACAAAAGTGTTCCTTTAAATGCACAGACTGAATTCAAGGAAAAGACGTGCTTGGGAAGCTGTGCCTACACACGACAAAGCTGAAAATACACCACCCTTAACCACAGGCAGTTGCTGAGTGCACTGAGTTTCAGGAGCCTTTAAAAAAGACTTCATCAGTCATTCAAAGGCATGGATTTTAAATGCAATTACTGTGTAATTAGCCGTTTCATCTTCAGTGTCGGTGAATTTGGAATTTAATCTCTGATTGCACAAAATAGAATACTAAGTAGCTTACTCAATAGAAAAGCTGGTATCGTTGTTTGTTGGTGGCCAGATAATGTGGCCAAATCCTTTACAGCCCCCATAGGACAAAGGTTGAAGAGAAATGGATGGAGACAAGGCACTAGCTCTTACTAGATTTGTAGGTGTCTTTAAGCTCATATTGAAGACACAGTTCACAAGTCATCTCTGCACTGGAAAATTCTGTCATTTCCTTACCCATGGCCAGTGGAGCTGATCACCCTCACCTCACATACACCATTTAACACACACTGTACCACCACAGTCCAGTCGTCTCCGTGTCTGCTTTCCTTACAAGATTATGAGTTCCTTGAGGGCAGGGACTATTAAACTTTGTGTTTTTACACAGAGCACAGTGCCTGGCCCACCACAACATTCAATAGATAAATGAATGAGTCAATGAATGACCCACCAATTAAAATCAGCTAGAGGCCAGATTTATAAACTAATTTATAAATAGTTGTTTTCTGTGACCCTAAAGAAAAAATGAAGTACCTAATTTTTTTTTTTTTTTTTGAGACAAAGTTTTCCTCTTGTTGCCCAGCTGGAGTGCCATGGCGAGATCTCATCTCACTGCAATCTCTGCCTCCTGGGTTCAAGTGATTCTCCTGCCTCAGCCTCCTGAATAGCTGGGAATATAGGCATGCACCACCACACCCAGCTAATTTTGTATGTTTTAGTAGAGACAGGGTTTCTCCATGTTGGTCAGGCTGGTCTTGAACTCCTGACCTCAGGTGATCCATCTGCCTTGGCCTCCCAAAGTGCTGGGATTATAAGCACGAGCCACCACGCCCAGCCTAACTATCTGAATTGTATTAGGTTCTCAGGTCTCTTCTAAGGACTCAATTTTCAGCTGCAATCCTCACCTTCAAGTCACCAATAAGTGATTTGATAACACTTTAAAATGTATGAATAAAAATAGGCCATCAAGTTCAAGTGATGCTTCATGGATTGACCTTAATTCTGGTTTTGGTCTATGACCTATCTATGGAATTTATTTTTAGCTATTCCTGGAATATAAATTTCCTAAAGACAAGAACTGTGTCTGTGCTGTTCACTGCCACATCCTCAGCTCCTTGAACAGTACCTGAACTACAGAAGGTGCTCAATAAATAACAGCTCAAGTGAATTCATGTGTGTGGCAGCCACTGGGATAGAAGTTTGCTGTTAAAAAATTATGAACTACTTTCTTGTCTCCTGGAAAAATGTTCAATAAATCAACCTGAAAAGGGCATACATATCATAGGCATATAAAGATTGATGGTTTTATTGTAATGATTTGTATCTTCCAAAGAATAAAAGAAACCCCGAAAACCTGTACAGAACTCATAGCAAGAAAATTTTCCCTCAAAATATGTCCTAAGTATTCCCAAATAAAGTCTTTCTCTTAGCAAAGAGATGAACACTGTGGCAGCTCCCTCGCTCACTCTGGGAGTCAGCTGGCCAAATCTAAAATTGCTTTGGTGAGTCAGAGGCAGGAGAGGAAACGTTGCCCCTGATAGTAGAGAAATTGGGTTAGCAACAGAAATGGCACCTCCCTGCACCCTCCCAGCTGAACTAAATGCATACTACTACACGCAGAATGGACCTGTGTCACACAGTTGTGATAGGTGATTCCCCATCCCTGCCGCCACCACAGGAGTGAGAAGAATGGACAAACACAAAGACCCCAATGTGGTTTCTAAAGACTAGGATTTCCATAGGTGACATGAGACATTTGTAATTTCCACGTGAAGCTATTTGCCGAATGACTCATTCCAAAGCTTAATAGAGAAAGGTTGGTTCCCAAATCAGCACACTCTTTTTACGACAGCTAACAGAAACACTGGGGGAAAAAGGGGGATGTTCCAGTTTCTTGTGTGCCCAGGCCCTCAGCCCCAGACTCTTGAGGGAAGCAAAAGCTCTGGTTAGTGATCCTCAGCGAGGGCCAGGGAGGTGCCACAGCCACCCCACTGAAGAATCCCAGTGAGCTGGAGTAAGTGTAGTGTCACAGAACGTAGCTAGTCAAGTGTGAGCAGGGCAGGAGAGTGCTACACACACACCCACACACACACGCACACACCCCACACGCACACACACACACACTCACACCCACATACACACCCACCCACACACGCACACGAATGTGGCACAACCATCAGGTGATGGGCAGGTGGCTGTTAACCATTTCTCTAAAGTAATAATTTGTCACAGCTGGTGCCAGGGAAAGGCTTTCTCCTAATAGATAGCAAAAACTGGAAACTGATCACCAGCTTCCCAGCAAGATCTCAGAAGCACTCCCATGCATAAAAGCCAAAGTCAACAGGCAAGCTGAGCACCTGGTTTCTCAAGTCACCTGCTTGGCTCTCTTTCAAGTTTTTTTTTTTTTTTGGATAGAGTCTCACTCTGTCGCCCAGGCTGGAGTGCAGTGGTGCCATCTTGGCTCCCTGCAACCTCTGCTTCCCGGGTTCAAGCGATTCTCCTGCCTCAGCCTCCCAAGGACTACAGGTGCCTGCCACCACACTCAGCTAATTTTTGTATTTTTAATAGAGATGGGGTTTCTCCATGTTGACCAGGCTGGTCCCAAACTCCTGACGTCAGGTGATCCACCCGCCTCAGCCTCCCAGAGTGCCGGGATTATAGGTGTGAGCCACCACACCCGGCCCCTTCTTTTCTTTCCTTTCCTTACACTCCTAAAGCTTTTTAATACACTTTCCCTCCTGCTCTGAAACTTACCTCGGTCTCTCCTTCTGCTTCATGCCCCTCAGTCGAATTCTTTCTTCTGAGGAGGCAAGAATTGAAATTGCTGCAAACTCATAGGGATTCGCCATGGGTACCTTGGGATAACTCGGGGACCTGTCACCAGTAACAGCAGCACAGACCCAGCACCTGCCAGCGTGTATGCCTCATCCCCATTATCACTCACCCTGTCTGTGCCTGTGTGCAGGTAGGTGTGTGTGTGCACATGTGTGCACGTCTATGCATGTATATTCGTGTGCTTGTGTGTGTGTTTAAGCACGTGCCTATGCATATGTATGAGTATGCTTGTATACGTGTGTGCACACATGCACATATGTGAGCACCTCTGTGTATAACATGTGTGTGCACGGCAGTGTGACATGCAGTGAGGGAGGAAGATTTCAAGGGAGGAGGGTTGAGGCCTAATTCCCAACTGTTATTTGCTCTTCAGTCTGAGACAAGTCCCTGAGCCTAAGAATTTGTTTTTCATCTATAAAAATGTGACGGTAAGAAACACTGCATTGGCTACCCTGCAGGGATCGTTAAAGCCCTGCCTAAATGGCAATGTGCCGTGAATATGCTAACCATGATCAGCTTCGTGCTGCTTTTTTCTCTTTTGCCACAGCTGCCTCCAATCGTTAGACTGCATGTTAGAACCAAGGGCCCAGAGCTAGGGTTGTAGGCCACTAAAAATAGACTGTGGGCTCCCTGGCAAGGGTGGGCTGGCTCTAACCCTTACCTGGGATTGAGGTTGCTACGCAGCTTTGTCAGGGTCTGGGGAGTTTGCGTTGTTTCCACCAAGCTGTCTGCCCTGCCTGCAGCTTCCCTCCAAGCTGATATACTGGTTGCTCATGCCTTCCCACCTGATTATAAACTGCCTTAGAAACTCTCTCCAAAGGCTGTTCTATAAGTGATAATAATTTCGGTGACTAAGATGCACTAATCACTTTTGTGCCAGGCACTTTGCCAAATACCCTACAGACTTTATCTCCTTTAATTCTTATGACATTCTTTAAAATAAATAACATCGTCTCCATTTTACAGATGAGGAAACCGAGGCTTAGAGAGGATAAATGCTTGCCCAATATCACACAGCAATCGAGTGAAACTCAAGAGGTCTGAGCCAAAGTCCTGGCTCTGAACCATGGTTGCCAAGCTCAGCCAGTCATTCAATATCTCCGTTCACGGGGGACCCATGGAGTTTGGGAGAAGAGACAAGCAAGGGGGCCGTATTCAGGATGTGCAGGCTATATGTTAGGGCTCAAAGTCCCTTCCTCTCTCCTTGCATGTGCCTATACTATTTTTCCTTCCGGGCTCCAGTGGAAAAGGGAGTGAGACTCTAGTTAAATTCTGTCACCAGGACAGTCCAGGTTCTCTTCTGGGTTGCCCCTTGCGGCCTCTCCACTCCTGCCATGGGGCGCATGCCACCTTAGGGGCAGCGTGCCTCAGCTAGGTGGAGTCTAAGGGGAGAGCAGAGAACAGAGCTCTCTGCGGGCACTCAGCTAAGGGGGAAAAATTGAGCTGTGCTCAGGCGACTCCCCCAGAGGCTCACCCCATGATTACTGCCCACACCCACACTGCACATGGCTTACTGGTCCTAGAGCCTTTCACTCCACTGGACAGGGCAACGGGGCCCACAGTCTTCCCAGCCCTGCCCTGCCCCTGGACGCTCACATGCTGCTGTACTGAACAGGGCAAAGGCCTCTGCAGGGGCATGGGTTCTGGCCCCAGATCTGATGCCAACTTGGCCACACTCGCAAGGTCATTGGACTTCTCTGCACTTCAGATTTCTATTTTCCAAATGAAATGAGAAACTTGGGTTTCACTCTAAACATTCTTTTCAAGTCTGAGACCTGGCGATTCAGAATCTCTTCACCTTTGGGCAACTCTGTTCTCATTCTCAGGGTTCATGGGAGAGGACGTTCTTCAGAGAGGTTGATGAGGGAGCTCCCAGGGGAAGGGCAGTGGGGCACATGAATTGTGGAGCAGAAGCAGGGATGGGTATAGCAGCTGGCAGAGCAAGGAAGAAGCGGTCTTGGGAGTCGCAGCCCGAAGGCAGATTCCCCGGCCACGAAAGCACCGAAGGACAAGACCCAACCAACAGCGCCCCTTGGATGGTGGAGTCCAGCTGCCAAGCTCACTCAAGGGACAGTGGTTCTTTTCTCAATCACTCGTCATGGTCACTCAGGATTAAGTGCATTTAATAACACCCCTACTCTGCATTTAATAACCTCCCAAAAACCCAATGACTCCTCTCCGCATAGAAGCTGTTCAAACCATTGACTGTGATTAACGGCTATAGCAACTGCATGACAGGCTGGAGGGGTGTGCACAGGAAAACGACTCCACCACCATGCATTAAGTGTTCTTGCTGAGAGAGACAGGGAAGGGCCGTGAGTTCGAGGCTCCCTTTGGTCCTTGCATATGGTACTTTTTAATGTAAAATATGCCAAGATGAACATGGAGCTTAAGCTCCTGGGACAGCAAATAAAGATGCCGGGAAAACGAGGAAAGATTTCACGTGGGCAGTGGTTGACAAGTCTTTCTTGTTTGTGGCTGGCAGTGAGCAATGGACAGGCATTCTCAGAGCAGGTCAGAGAGCAAGTCATAAATGGGGGCAAATTCCAGTTGGGTCTTTCAACCGACTGTTTTGTTCCATGAATGTCACACTGTAACAGGATAATTGGAGGGTTTGGGTAAGCTGGTGAGGGAATAAGGGCTTTTCCTAAGAATGATGAAAGCAGAGAGGCAGCTCTCAGCTCTAAGCCGGCTGCCCTGTTTCTGCAAAAATAGGTCCTTTAACATGGAGAAGCAGAAATCTAAACCTTCTTAAATCCCCTCAAATGTTTTGAATAGAACAAACACCTATTTCATGAAAGAAATACATTTTCAAAGATCATAGCAAGAGGATACGCTAGCTGCTTGGTCACCTAAGTGCTTTTGGAAAGGGAAAAGAGCTATTCAGCATTAAAGATTCAGGAATGTCTGTTGACATATTAAGGAAACAACCTCAGGGGACAGCTGACAAGGCTCCAAGAAGCATCACCAAGGGAACAGTGACGCAAACACGTTCCCTTTTTACAGGCTGGCGGGCTGCCGGTTTCGCTCGCCTGACGGCTGATGTAATGCTAATCCCTATCTGGGTTAGCGTTGCTTAGATATCAACTCAAGCAGCTCAGCCAGTTGCAATCAATAGCAGGATCCTTTTATAGAAGATAGTAAAGGGAAAAAGAAAAAAACAGATATAGATATGTGGAGAGAGAGAGAGAAAGAACTCCAGATTCTGGCATGCTGCAAACCTGTACGTTGTACACACGCACACAAAATACGTTATGCACTCAGGTGTCTCCATATGGAGTATAGCCAGCTGTCTACAAAAGGTATTGCTATTTCATAAGACAAGTCCTTTTTTTAAAGCATAACTAAAGAATATGCCTAATTCCCAGCTGAGCTAAAGAATAATGGACGAAAACAGATGACATTGGGGGGAATGTGAAAATAATGATCTTTTTCATTATTGGATAAATGGGCTGATTCCTTTTAAACCTATGCGTAAAACATCACTTTTTAAAAACTTCTTTCTTCAAGACCGCTGCTTTACAGTTATTTTAGAATAAATAATAAGAATAGTAATTATGCAAATTTTAATCAGTCTCGGATTGAAGGTTTATGTTAAGTGTCTTCTATAATGTGTTGAGGGGCCACATTTCATTTTTTCTCTCAGGCATAGCAATTTTAACTGTCCAAGAGCAATAAAGAGGAACTCATTTTAAAAACTCAATTCAATTATGCATATTCTTTTTTTTGAGATGGAGTTTTGTTCTTGTTGCCCAGGCTGGAGTGCAATGATGTGATCTCAGCTCACCACAACCTCCACCTCCCAGATTCAAGTGATTCGCCTGTCTCAGCCTCTCAAGTAGCTGGGATTACAGGCATGCGCCACCAGGCCCGGCTAATTTTGTATTTTTAGTACAGACAAGATTTCACCACGTTGGTCAGACTGGTCTCGAACTCCTGACCTCAGGTGATTTGCTGGCCTTGGCCTCCCAAAGTGCTTGATTACCAGGGTGGGCCGCCGCACCCGGCCCAATTTTGCATATTCTTACTTGTTTACAAGAGTATACTTAGATGGAAGGAATCTATGTTGTCCTATACAAAAGACCAACAGCAAATAGATCCCTGGTTCCAAAGCCTTCAGAGTATAAGATAGTCAAACATTCCTCCTGCAACCCACCAAAAACAGGTGGTGGGAGGGTAGAATGAGCACCAACAAAGATAACCGAGTTATTTTTAATAATAATAAAATGAGCATAACTATGTTGACATAGGGCAATAGGCTTGTCAATCAAGCCCACAAGGATGCAGTTATAGGATAGAAATGATACATTATTAATATTTCATATGTTTATTGCACTTTTCTTTTAAGGTAGGTTTTATTTTACTCTCAGCCTATGAGAAGTTTAGGGATAAGCTTTATAAGCCACCTAAATTACATGAAAAGCTGATGCGCAGGTACATATTTTTCTGGGGGGAGTTCTCATAGATAGCATTAGATTCTCGAAGGGGCCCAGGAGCCCCCACCCCAAGGTTAAAACTGATGAATTCTAAGGAGTTAAAAATCCTTTAGAAATTTGATTTCAATTATCCCCCACCTGCCAGTGAGACTATTTATTTATTTATTTTTTGAGAGGGAGTCTCACTCTGTCGCCCAGGCTGGAGTGCAGTGGCACAATCTCAGCTCACTGCAAATTCCGCCTCCTGGGTTCAAGGGATTTTCCTGCCTCAGCCTCCCAAGTACCTGGGATTACAGGCACCCACCACCACGCCTGGCTAATTTTTGTATTTTTCGTAAAGGCAGAGTTTCACTATATTGGTCAGGCTGGTCTCGAACTCCTGACCTCAGGTGATGTGCCTGCCTCGGCCTCCCCAAGTGCTGGGCTTACAGGCGAGAGCCACCAAGCCCAGTCTGATTAGTTCAATTTCAACTCAAGGAACACACCTTGATTTCTAGCATCCTCCATGCTGACCCAGCCTCCCTTCCCCTCCCCACATTCCTGCTGTCCAAAATCTCCCCCTAATCAGGCCAAGGCTAAACAGAACATTCAACTGTGGTATTTTGAAATTTTAGTAGTCTGAAAATTAGCTTTAGTATCATTTTTCTTTGATAAGGCAATGTTTGCTTCAGCATCTTGAAACACTTCCTATCAGGCAGAAAGGATACAGAACAGGAAGCAAGGGCCCACGAATACAAAGGAACTTCCCACCCTGTAGAAATTAAGATGCGAATTCATTTCTCCAGACTCATAGCCCTGTGCATTCTACATTACCTTTCAGCAGCTCGGCCTGGTGAATAGAGCTATGTATTCTGAGTCCAGCTTCTCCTGCCTGGGGCAGAGGCTACGAATGGATGGCACAGGGAAATCCATTCCAGCTTTAAGTAAGGAGCTGAGAAAAGGGCCGGGCTCAAAGGCATGAGGGTGAGAATTTCTTCCCTTTTTTGAAGCAATAATATTTAATGTCATTTTTGTGGTTATAAAAGGGTATTTGTTTATTGTAGAAAATTCAAGGGGGAAAGACTAAAAAGAAGAGGAAGCAAAAACTATCTGAAATCCCATCTCTCCCAGATATCACACTAAGTGAACAAATAACTTGGTTACTAGGGCTGGGCCTGCCTCTTTTTGTGTTCCCAAAGAAATCACAAGCGCTTCGTTTCTTTGTGAGGAAGATATACATGATTAAATCTTTCCTACTGAGACCGAGTCTCACTCTGTCTCCCATGCTGGAGTGCAATGGCACCATCTCAACTCAGTGCAACCTCGCCTTCCGGGTTCAAGTGATTCTGTTCTCAGCCTCCCAAGTAGTTGGGACTACAGGCTCATGCCATCATGCCCAGATAATTTTTGTATTTTTAGTAGAGATGGGGTTTCATCATGTTAGCCAGGATGGTCTTGAATTTCTGACCTCAAGTGATCTGCCCACCTCAGCCTCCCAAAGTGCTGGGATTACAGGCGTGAGCCACCATGCTCAGACATGATTAAATCTTTCTTGTCTGCTTTACAGGGTTGTTCTATGGCTCAGATAAGATTAGGGATTTGGAAATGATTTATAAATCACACTGAACTATATTGCAGATATAAGGTATTCATACCATTATCCTTAAAGGTTATTTGCCCCTATCGTATTCATAGCTACTAAAACTATCACCTTAAAAAAACACAATTTCCCAGGCTCATTCCCTGCTTCAGAATTGACCATGGATCCCGATGGCCTATGATTTAAATCAGAGCATCCATGGTCTGACTTCTAGGTGCTTTCTCAATGCCGAACTTGATCTTGTCTTAGTTGCTGCAAACCATGCTTCTCATTGACCTTTGATGCAAACTGCACCCCATCAAAGTAAATTTTCGCATCATTGGCACATATACTGCATGTTTTATATTCTGGAACTTTCTACATGCTTTCCCTCAAATAGAACATTCCAGCCACCTCAAAATGCAGATCACTTCTAATGCTTCATTTAATTTCATTTCCATCAAACAGCTGCATGCCGGGAAAAATTCAGAGCTAGTTTTATACATGATAATTACATGACATGTCACTGAAATTTACACCCATCTTCTGATTTTTCTTTTGCAAACTTTTCTCTTCATTCTCTAACTCTTTTTCTAAAATGGTTAAAAATAGATTTTGGAAAACATTGGACATGAATGTCATTTGTTGTGTATGAATTTGCTAAGAAATAGGGTGTACCACAGCTGTTATTTTTTTCCACATAGCCTACTCAATCTGTCATGCATTTACTGTGTTTTATAAATATGTGACATATTTGGAAATATATTGTTCACATATCTTGCGTGTTTTCCATTCAAGGCATGCTAAAAATATAGTATCAGTTTGTCAACATGGTATTTAAAAACAAGAGCCCCTCATTTAAAAATCCCAGGAAAGTCCATAGTTTGGACCAAACAGTTCTTACGCTTTCTGTTTCTTACCTTGCCATGTTTATTTGTGTCCCTGTCTCATGTAAGTTGTATGTTAAGCATCTCAAACACAAAAATATCAGACCTGTGACTCAAAAGCAGGTGGTTTCCTCAAATTGCTTCATGTTCTAGAATCCATGTTTAACTTGATGCAGGAATACAGGAGAAAGAATGCAGGTTCTCTCTCACAGGTGAATATTTTTTTCTGACGAGTCAGCAACATCACCTTCGGATAGTGCTGTTGGGATATTTCCATTAGCCTAAAGCTTTGAGGTGTGCAAATCATACACTGAACTGGCTTTCGTATCATTTCAAACCTTTCTTTCCTTTTCATGACAATAACCCTGGATTGACATTTAAATAATGTCATTCCCTGGAGAATTTAGAACCCAAGCATACCCTTGTTGATAATGGCAGCTCGGAGGGAACTAAGGTGAGGGTAAGAGATGGGAAGGGTAGAATTTTCATATCTTTTTTTTTTTCTTTTTTTTGAGGCAGAGTTTCACTCTGTCACCTGACCCGAGTGCAATGCACAATCTCGATTTACTGCAACCTCCACCTCCCAGGTTCAAGAGATTCTCCTGCCTCAGCCTCCCAAGTAGCTGGGACTACAGGCGTGCACCAACACGCCCAGCTAATTTCTGTATTTTTAGTAGAAATGGGGTTTCGCCACGTTGGCCAGGATAATCTCCATCTGTCCACCTCGTGATCAGCCCGCCTCGGCCTCCCAAGGTGCTAGCCACCGCGTCCAGCCTGGTTTTTTCTGTTTTTTGTTTTTTGTTTTTAAAAAAAGCAACGCCTATAATCCCAGCACTTTGGGAGGCTGAGATAGGCGGATCACCTGAGGTCAGGAGTTTGAGACCAGCCTGACCAACATGGAGAAACCCCATCTCTACCAAAAATACAAAATTAGCCAGGTGAGGTGGTGTATGCCTGTAATCCTAGCTACTTGGGAGGCTGAGACAGGAGAATCACTTGAACCCAGGAGGCCAAGGTTTCGGTGAGCCGAGATTGTGCCACTGCACTCCAGCCTGGGCGACAGAGCAAGACTCCACCTCAAAAAAACAAAAACAAAAAACAAACTTACTTGTTGTTTCTAAGTTTAAAAAAAGGCAATGATTAAACAAGGAAAAGGGTTGGAGCGTTGATTCAATGTTCTCCAATTCTTTGTTAAATTATTTTCATTGTTATAAAGTACATCTGTCAGTTTCTTTTAAGTAAGGGGAAAATTATCCTAAGAAATCTATAGTGTAGATATCATATTTTCAACAGAAGTAACCATTGCAATGACAGCCACTGTTATTAAACTATTATTATTTATTATGTGTGTATTTCCTACATTAATCTGATCTTAACACATTATTGTTAGATTCTCTCCTTGCGGGAGGGAAGCCTGCTCAGTGGGAGGTGGATCTACAAAGCTCTCTCCCAGCCTGGACTGAAGCTGCGTGGCTGCCTTCCTTCTGTGCAGCTGCACGCCCCTGCTAACTGAGAGAGAATTCTCACGTGACTGAAGATGGCCCCACACACTTCCCACTATCTTGCTTCCTTTGTGTTCCTCGCAGAGACACATAGGGGACTGTGGAAGCCAGCTGTGGAGGCTGCTTGAGAGATTTTTGACCCAGAACTCAACTTTGGGGTAAAACTTTGAAGAATGTTGGAGGGATCTCTTTCCCCTCGAATGTGATCACCCATTCACCTTATGAGATAGCAGCATATTATTAACCACCATCTCCTTAGCAATCCGGGGCAAGACAATAAGACCTTTGTACCCACAGTTTGTTCTTTCCAAGCCTTCTCAGCCCATGTCTCATTCTGCCTGCTCAGCAGCCCTGCAAGAGAGGACAGGAGCTATTTCTCCCACTTTGCAGATAGAAAAAGGTCACCCAGCTTGTATAGGAGGAAGTGGAATTTGAACTGAGATTTCCCAGCTCATTTTTCTTTCTTTTAGCCTGTGTGCTCTTCCGATTGTTACCTATCCACACTTCTCTCTACCTCAACCCATTAGGACATATTGAGGGGGAAAAAAATGACCTTTTTCATAGTGTGCTCTGCAAGAAATTTTGTATCTTAAAAAGACAAAGGGAGGATATTCAGGTGCTCGGCAGCCAGAATAATATATAGATGGACACAACATACACTTTTAGGGTCAAAATAAAATAATGCATTTATAATTCTGAGACAAGTGTTTTACATAGTATAAATATATTCCATTAAAAAATTCACGTGAATGAGAATCAAGTGGGAATTCTACATGGCTTCAGAAAATATGACAATGTAGAAGTTATGGCATTAAATTCTCTGTGCAAAACCCACAGAACGAAAATTATGAGATGTAGCTTCTGTACCAGTTTAAACAAAATATCCTATAAAAACTCATGTATTGAGCCTTATGAAAAACGGATCTACCAAATATTTAATATTTCATAGTCTTTATGAATTTCTTTTTAGTTCGAGAATGTCAGTGTTAAAATGCATTAAACCTGTATTTTTAATTGACTTCATTTTTTAATTGTCTTCATTAGTAGATTAAAAGGTTTAATACGACCCTCAATAAGCAACACTGAACAATCCAGTTGGAATCACCACTCCACAGTGGAAATCAAGAGAATGGCTTACTTGGTTTAAAACAATCAAGACAATTATGCATTATTTAAATACTTTAGGAGCATATTTTATTATTCCACCTTTCTTTCATTAGTCCTATGTGCTACGTGCAATTTATGTTTTTGTTTATTGAATCCACAAATGATTAAAGAAGTAAAACACGAAAAATGTATGGTATTCTTTTTACACTAAATTCACAATATTTGTCTTAGTTTCTAACTAAATTTTTCAGCCCTACTACCAAATAAACATGTAAAGGAAGTATTCTTATTATACTGATGACTATTTGTTGTTTTTTTATGTTAGCTTTTCTGTATTATACAAAGATAAATGGATGGAAAAAGGGTATTTGGTCACTTTCATTTTATTATTAAAGTATCAATAAAGAAAGAAAATTTTACATCAGAAAAAAATATTAATTCATTTCCAATCACTAAATTCTCTGTACCAATCAGTTATTTTTTTGTTGTGAGCCTATTGCTCCACTAAGCATAATGACTGAACAAAAAATACATATGACAACACTTCCATCCACAAGTAGCTTATTGTGGTTGCCAGAATTCTAAGATGACCCCTGATGTCCCAGGCCCTTGTTTAATTCCCTTGCCTTGAGAGGTAGCAGGACCTTAATTTGCTTCTAGTCGATAGCATATGGCAAAAGTGATGGGATGTTGCCCCCGTGATGACGTTATGTTATCAGGAAAAGGTGAGTGGATTTTGTAGATGTAATTAAGATCTCTAATGAGTTGACTGTAAATGAATCCAAAGAGAGATTAACCTGGGTGGGTCTGTCCTAATCAGATGAGCCGTTTAAAAGAAGGTCGAGAGGCCAGGCACTAAAAGCAGCAGATTCACTCTCTCCCTTGCTGGCCTTGAAAAAGCAAGCTGCCATGAGATCCGTAGATTCAAAGAAATGAATTCTGTCCTGTGACCTTGAGTGAGAACCCTGAGCCTCAGATGAGAC